CTGGGGGCCATCTTGCAGGACGGAGCCCTTACCCTGGGGGGCCCGAGGCCGAGTGCCGGTGGAGAGTGTCAGAGGGGACACCCCCACACGGATGGTGTCCACGCAGTGATCCGAGGCCGTGTGCAGGTGGAGGGTGTCAGATGGGACACGCCACACGGATGGTATACCCTGACAGGGCCAGGCCCCGGCAGTGTCTGGGGCTGGCGGTGTCTGGGGGGCCCGGCCGTGTCAGGGGACAGTGGTGTCGGGGGCACCGCCGTGTCAGGGGACAGCGGTTTGGGGGGCGCACAGAGGTGTCGGGTGGCGGTTTAGAGGAGCCCGGCCGTGTCAGGGGAAGACCGTTTTGAGGGAGACCCGCCCCTGTCAGGGGACGGCCGTTCATTCTCACCACCGTGTTACGGGACGGTGGTTTCGAGGGCCTGACCGTGTCAGGGGACAGCGGTTTCGAGGGGCCCAGCCGTTCAGGGGAAGGCCGTTTTGAGGGCGTCCCGGCCATGTCAGGGGACAGCCGTTCATACTCTCCACTGTGCTACGGTACGACGGTTTCGAGGGGCCCGGCAATGTCAGGGGACAGTGGCGTCATGCTCACTGCCATGTCACAGATTGGCGGTTTCGAGGGGCCCGGCCGTGTCAGGTTACGGCGGTGTCAAGGTGCCGGGCCGTGTCACAGGATGGCGGTTTCAAGGGCCCCGGCCATGTCAGTTGACGGGCGTTTCGAGGGAGTCCTGGTCGTGTCACGGGACGGCCGTGTCATACTCACCACTGTGTCACAGAATGGCGGTTTGGAGGGGCCCGGCTGTGTCACAGAACGGCGGTTTCGAGAGGTGCGGCGGTTTCAAAGGACAGCAGTGTCAGGGTCCCGGAAGTGTCACGGACGGCAGTTTCGAGGGGCTCCGCCATGTCACAGAACGGCGGTTTCGAGGGGTGTGGCCGTGTCAAGAGACGGCAGTGTCGGGGTCTCAGAAGTGTCTGGGGACGGCGGTGTTGGGGGGCCTGGCCGTGTCCGGGGACAGTGGTGTCAGGGTGAACTGCCTTGTCAGGGAACGGAAGTGTCAGGAAGCCCGGCCGTGCCAGGGGACAGCGGTTTTTGTGGGGCACAGCCGTGTCAGGGGACGGCGGTGTCAGGGGCAAGGCCATGTCAGGGGACAGTGGTGTCACAGGAAACCGCCGGGTCAGGGGACGGCGGTTTCTGGGGGGCACAGCCGTGTCAGGGGATGGCGGTGTCGGGGCCTGTCCGTGTCTGGTGACAGTGTTTTCGGGGGGAAACTGCCCTGTCACGGGACGGCGGTGTCGGGAGGCACTGCGGTTCTAGGGACGGCGCTGTCGGGACGCCTGGGTGTGTCAGGGGACGGTGGTGTCGGGGGGCCCGGCCTTGTCAGGGGATAGTGGTGTCGGGGCGAACAGCCCCGTCAGGGGACGGCGGTATTGGGGGGGCACAGCCGTGTCTCGGGATGGCCGTGTCATACTCAGCGCCGTGTCAGGGGACGGCAGTTTCAAGGGCCCCGGCCGTGTCAGGGGTCGGCGGTGTCAAGGGCCCCGGCCGTGTCAGTTGGTGACCGTTTCGAGGGAGTCGCGGCCGTGTCAGTGGAAGGCGGTGACCCCCACGCTGCCGTGTCACGGGACGGCAGTTTTGAGGGGCCCGGCCATCTCATGAGATGGTGGTTTCAAGGGCCCCGGCCATGTCACGGGACGGCAGTTTCCAGGGCCCCGGCCGTCTCATAGGGCGGCGATTTGTAGGGGCCCGGCTATGTCACGGGCCGGCAGTTTCGAGGGGCCCGGCTGTGTCAGGGGCAGTGGTGTCGGGGGGAATCGCCATGTCAGGAGACGGAGGTTTTGGGGGGCACAGCCGTGTCTGGGGACGGCGGTGTCGTGGGGCCCGGCCATGTCTCGGGACAGTGTTTTCGGGGGGAACTGCTCGGTCACGGGACGGCGGTGTCGGGGGGAACCGCCGTGTCACGGTTCAGCAGTTTCAAGGGCCCCGGCCGAGTCACGGTTCGGCAGTTTCAAGGGCCCCAGCGGTCTCATGGGATGGCAGTTTCAAGGACCTTGGCAGAGTCATGGGACAGCAGTTTCAAGGGCCCCAGCCGTCTCATGGTGCGGCGATTTATAGGGCCCCAGCTATGTCACGGGATGGCAGTTTCGAGGGGCCCGGCTGTGTCGGGACAGTGGTATCTGGGGGAAGCGCCTTGTCAGGGAATGGCAGTGCCGAGGGTCCGGCCGTGTCAGAGGCAGTGGTGTCGGGGGAACCGCCGTGCCAGGGGACGGCGGTGTCGGGGGCCCGGCCGAGTCAGAGGACGGCAATGTAAAGGGCCCCGGCCGTGTCCCGGTACGGCAGTTTCAAGGGCCCCGGCCGTGTCCCGGTTCGGCAGTTTCAAGGGCCCCGGCCGTCTCATGGTGCGGCGATTTATAGGGCCCCAGCTATGTCACGGGCGGCAGTTTCGAGGGGCCCGGCTGTGTCGGGACAGTGGTATCTGGGGGAACCGCACTATCAGGGAATGGCAGTGTGGGGGCCCGGCAGTGTCAGGGGCAGTGGTGTCGGGGGCCCGGCTGTGTGTTGGGACAGTGTTTTCGGGGGGAACTGCCCTGTCACGGGACGGCGGTGTCAGGGGACGGCGGTGTCGGGGGCACAGCCGTGTCAGGAGATGGCGGTGTTGGGGGGCCCGGCCGTGTCAGAGGACGGCGGTGTAAAGGGCCCCGGCCGTGTCACGGTTCGGCAGTTTCAAGGGCTCCGGCCGAGTCACGGTTCGGCAGTTTCAAGGGCCCCGGCCGTGTCACGGTTCGGCAGTTTCAAGGACTCCGGCCGTGTCACGGTTCGGCAGTTTCAAGGGCCCCGGCCGAGTCACGGTTCGGCAGTTTCAAGGACTCCGGCCGTGTCACGGTTCGGCAGTTTCAAGGGCCCCGGCCGTCTCATGGGACGGCAGTTTCAAGGGCCTTGGCAGTGTCACGGGATGGCAGTTTCAAGGACTCCGGCTGAGTCACAGTACGGCAGTTTCAAGGGCCCCGGCCGTCTTATAGGGCGGTGATTTATAGGGCCCGCTATTTCACAGGACGGCAGTTTCGAGGGTCCCGGCTGTGTCTGGGGAAGTGGTGTGGGGGGGGAACCGCACTATCAGGGAATGGCAGTGTGGGGGCCCGGCAGTGTCAGGGGCAGTGGTGTCGGGGGAATCGCCGTGACAGGAGACGGCGGTTTTGGGGGGCACAGCTGTGTCAGGGGACGGCGGTGTCAAGGGCCCGGCCGAGTCGGGGACGGCGTGTCACACAGAGACGGTTACGAGGGTTCCGGCCGTGTTGGGGGTCCGGCCGTGTCTGGGTCGGTGGTGTCGGGGGGCACGGCCGTGTCTGGGGACAGTATTTTTGGGGGGAACTGCCCTGTCACGGGACGGCGGTGTCAGGGGCCTGGCTAAGTCGGCGACGGCGTGTCACACAGAGTCGGTTTCGAGGGTTCCGGCCGTGTCGGGGGTCCGGCCGTGTCTGGGTCGGTGGTGTGGGGGGACATGGCCGTGTCTGGGGACAGTTTTTTCAGGGGGAAGTGCCCCGTCACGGCACGGCAGTGTCGAGAGGCCCGGCTTTGTCACGGGACGGTGGTGTCGAGGGGCCTGGCCGTGTCAGGGGACCGCGGTGTGGGGGGCCCAGCCGTGTCACGGGATGGCGGTATCGTGGTCACCGCCGTGTCACGGGACAGCGGTTTCAGGGGGCACAGCCATGTCAGGGGACGTCGGTCTCGGGGAGCCCAACCGTCTGATGTGAAGGCGGTGTCAGGGGGCCCGGCTGTGTCAGGGGACGGCGTTGTCGGAGGGCACTGCTGTGTCGGAGCATGGTGGTGTCGGGGTGCACTCCCGTTTCGGGGCACGGGGGTGGGGTCAGCGAATGCGCCGATGTCAGGAGACCTTCATTTGGTTACAGATCGCGATGGCTGCTTTATTGCTCTGAGAGCTGAGTGGCTGGGAGAGACTGTGTCCCTTTAGGCCCAAAGTATTTACTGTGCAGCCTCTCGTGAACAGTTACTGACCCCTGTTCTGTTTCACAGGATGGCTCTATGGATACAAAGCTCATGGAGCCGATCAAAGACCACGGGGCACACACCTGCAAACATGGGAAGTCTACTGCCCTTTGTGCACCAAAGCATATGTACCCCAGAGAAAAAGCACGTTTGAGTCCCGTGGCAAAGGATTTCTGTGCCGAAATGAGTAAAACACCCTGCACAAACCACACGCGGTAGTAACAGCTCCAAGGCCACGCATTCAGATTTCTTCATTTCACCCAGTACCTACTTAGTAAGCAACTACTACGAGTGTGGCCCTGATAGGGGCAGTGGAAATCCCGGGGAGGTTAGAGTAAGGTTCTCCCGCTTCTGGAGTTCAGGATCAGCTCGGGGGACAAATTAAAGAGGAGAAAAATTTATCTGAAGCTGGGAAATATAGGTGCACTGAGGAGGGTTTGCTTCTGTACGTCTTGGGGATTCATCCCTGAGAAGCGCACAGGGTGGGTTGTGACACAAAACAGTGACGGGCTAAGAAAGAGCCTAGCTTAGAGTGTTGGAAATCAAAGTTAGAATGAGCTCTTTCAGAGAAATGTTTCCTGGTGGAAGGAAGGAAAAGGGAAGGAAAAGGGAAGGGAAGGGGAAGGGAAGGGGAAGGGGAAGGGAAGGAGGGAGGAAAGAGCCCTTAAATTCCATTCCCCAATCTAACGTATCACTGCATTGCATTTGCTGACTCCGTATTTCCCATACAAAGTTGATTAAGTTTTCCATTTCGGGCCTCGGCCCAGGCGTTGGATGTATAATCTTCGTACTTTTGTGAAAAGCTATCTGTATTGTTTTCGCGATACTTGGTGTTTCAGTGTCCTTTTACTTCCTTTCTTTACAACTACAAACAACACCTATAATGAGAAACACTGTCTATACCTCTTCTTTACACCGGAGCAGCTTTCTCACCGGGTGAGTGTATACTGACCAGCGATTACGTTTAACAAGGAAGTCACAACGTGGTACGTTTTTGCAGAGGAGCAACTTGGGAAAATCAGGAAGAGCATGGTGCACATCCAGCCGTCTTTCCAAAGACGAGGGCCCGCCCGCCTGCTGGAAATCGGAGCTCCCTTCTATCAAGACCACCAGCTGCAGGTGAAGGTCTACTGGAAAAAGACGGAAGGTAAGCCCGTGCTCTTGGGTGACCCGTCATCTGCATCAAGTGGCTCAGTGGTGTCAGGGTGCTGGTGAGAAAGTCCGATTGACACACGGTGTTGATATCAGGGACCGCGGCACCTCAACACAGCACTTTAGGCTTTTTTGTTTGTTTGTTTTTTAATGCCTTGCTGTCGTGAGGTCCAGATGGGCCGCCCCATCTTTCCCGGGAATCTGTATCACATTAGGAAATCAGTCAGCTGCTTGCATTTCATCATTCTGGAGAGGTTAGCCTGTCTTCACTGTGCCCCCAGAAGGCCGCTCTGGTCTCCCAAATACTCCTTATTTGGCACTGTAAATTTTTGTTCTAAATTAGATTTTTGTTCTAAATTAGGTTTTTGTTAAAAAAAAAAAAAAAAGGCCACCCAAATAATTTGGAAATGGAGAAAAAAGTTATCTCAGTAGTATTTCAGAGAGACAGGATTTAGGCAGCTGCCCTTCCGTCGTTTGATTCATGTATATGTACTCACATTTATGCTATTCTCTGTAAAGCATAGACATTTTCATGTCATATCTGAGCGTCCACATCGTCACACGTGTGGTGACAGTTTGGGATCGCGGCTGGGTACGGGCGCACCGCAGTACCACGACGCGCCACGACGGCAGACCACGCGAGTGCCTTCGGAATTGCCATTGTGGATTCATTCTGCAGGGATGGTTTCCCTCAGAGAACATTCTCTTCGTTCTGAGTCTCTGCCCGAGCGCTTCTCTTTAGGACCAATTCACCTTGTTTTATTTGTAGCGTATTGATCTTGTGGTACTGAAATCGTACTTTCGGAACGCTTTGTGCACTTTTTTCTCTCTCACTCCGATGCACTTTGAAAACATGAGGGAGGTTGTTTCAAGAAGTCAGTGTTTAGAATTTTTCCAGTTCTTCTGGAAGTGCAGTGTGACTCTGATATTCACTCATGCATCATATACGAGACTGTGCTGGAGTTCTTGTTCCAGAAGTTTCTTCAAAACTGCTGACATCCATGGTGCCTGGGAGGCTCAGTTGGTTAAGTGTCTGACTTTGGTTCAGGTCGTGATCTCACAAGTGGGTTCAAGGCCCACGTAGAGATCTGTGCTGTCAGGGCCGAGCCTGTTTTGGATCCTCCATCCCCTTAGCTCTCTGTCCCTCCCCTGCTTGTGCGCCCTCTCAAAAATAATTTAAAAAAAAAAAAAAAAAAAAAAGACTTTTCCCCAAAGCTCTGAGCTGCTACCTTGGCTCTAAATCAAATATTGTGGGAAAGTTAATTTTTTTAACTTTCTGTACAGTCATTTGGCATATTTTCCCAACTTTCTGGCATTACCACATTGTTTTAGCTGCTGTAAATATTTTTAATAATAGTCCCTCAATTTATTTTTACTTTTTTTCAAACTGTCTTGACTATTCTTGGCCCTTTGTATTTTTGTATAAAAATCTGCATTAGTTTCTCAATTTCTACAAAAACTTTTTGCAGTCTCTATTGAAATCATAATCCGTCTATGTGGTAATGACCAGAGAATTCACAGCTTAAAGATCTGCATGCTTGACACATCACTGTATTTATTCAGGTTTTAAAATGTCCTCTTCAACAAGGATTTTTCATATATAATGTAGAAGCTGTAATAGTTCTTAAGATGACTATCCTAATTTGTTTGTGTTTATTTGGATCCTATTATAGACGTGCATACATTTCTTTCCATTTTATTCTCTAACTTGCTGCCATCTATAAAAATGCATCTTCAAGACACCTGGGTGGCTCAGTCAGTTAAGTGTCTGACTCTTGGTTTTGGCTCAGGTCATGATCTCATGGTTTGTGAGTTTGAACTCCATGTTGGGCTCTATGCTGACAGTGTGGAGCCTGCTTGAGTTTCTCTTGCTCTCTGTCTCTCTGCCCCTCCCCAGCTTGCACGCTCTCTCAAAATCAGTAAACTTAAAAAAAAAAAAATACATCATCTCTGTGTTTTTAAAAATTTTTAAATGTTTTTATTTATTTGTGTGTGAGAGAGAGAGAACGTGAGCAGGGGAGGGTCAGAGAGAGAGGGAGACACAGAATCTGAAGCAGGCTCCAGGCTCTGAGCTGTCAGCACAGAGCCCGACGCGGGGCTCGAACCCACGAATCGTGAGATCATTCCGAAGTTGGACGCTCAACTGACTGAGCCCCCCAGGCACCCCATTCTCTGTATGTCTTGATGGCGAATCCAACTTTATCGAATCCAAAGTTCTATTACTTTGCTCTTTACATTTCATCTGATGATTCTTTTCCATTCTTCTATAAAGGCAATCATGTTGCATGCAAATAGAATTTTATATTTTCCTTTCCAGACCTTTGCCATTTTGCTAGTTCTCTTGCCTTGACAAGGATGTTCAGTACAACCACCAAGGAGTCACTTCTGTCTTGAAGTGCGCGCACGTGTGTGTGTGCGTGTGCGTGTGTGTGTACATGCACCGTTTGTACACGTTCCTTTCCGTGTATAATCCTGGAGCTCTGGAGGTAGCTTTGTGGTAGAAATGTGGATTGAACTGGAGCCACTGTGCAGTGCGGTTACTTTGCTGTCAGATGTAGGTTGATTTCACCAGATCACATGGCCACGTAGGAACTAAGAACAAGTCAGGCTCTAAGAGAGTTTTGTCTTCCTCCAAAAAGCTTTTCCTTAAATTATGTCCATCCCATTTCCTTTTTGATTTTAAATTTGAAAGGCAAATTAACATGTAAAACACAGAGAAGCTCCACGGTGCCAGAGCCCTCTGTAGAAGGAGACTGTGGAAAGTTCCGGCGAGTCCAGCCCTCTCTGAGGTGGACAGCATGTGTTCCAAACTTATTCCACATTTGGTCTCCTTCTAGAAGCCTGTTAGGCGCCATGGGACCTACAGAATTCCAAACCAAAGTGCCCCCAGACACTTAGAAAGCATGTGTATATTCATAATTATCACAAATGTAGGAAAGGAGGCGCCTTTTAAATGAAAACATAGTGCTACTATTGTACAAATTCTGTTTCGAAGGTGAACATGAGCTCTCTTCCTATCATGAAAAGGACACTTTGACTGGCTTTCTGGACTTTTTCACTCTAAAATTATGATCGTATGCACTGAATACAACTCGACAGACCCATCTCAAATGGTTTGAAAGCCCAATGCATAAGTACCTGAATATTTTTGAATCATAACTAATTTCCACCAGTGGATACACTGAGTTGAAAACCTTAAAGAAACTGAATGTTTGTGACAAATCAGAGGAGAAGAGAATCTCGCTCACTAATGAAGACAGAATTGTAAGTAGAAATTGGTTTCTAGGTATCTGTCACATTTCCTAAAAGCAATGGTGGCCAGCCCATTGCTTTTACAATTGAAGTTAGGAACTCAAAAGCACCAATCTGTTCGCCTACATTGAATATTCCCAAAGAGATAGCTTCAAGTTTTTTGTATTACTTATGCTGACACAGCGTATAATTTTGTAGGGAAGTGACTCAAACATCAAATACTAGCCTGCCTTAGTGTGCACGATAGTTGGGTTTTAACAGTGAATGCTCTGGAAGGAAACAAATAGCGTCAACAGTGAATTTATAGAACAAACATTATTTTAAAAGGAACAGTCCACTAGGTAATTGTATTAATTACTTCTTTTAGTCTACAGTCATTTGTTCAGTTTTACTGTGTGATCATAGAATCTATAATTGATGATTTTAGGCTTTTTGGTTTAGACTTAGTGTTTGCACTCAAAATATGAAAAATTAGCTCAGAAAGAGACAGAAAACATACTTCTTCTTTGACTAGAAATGTCTTCCGCTTAGCAGGTGTTCAAAATTCTTTTACAGAACTGTAAGAATCAGGAAGTCTGTCTCACTGAAGCATTTTTACAAATATAAAGAGAATGAGGCATTATTGCATGAAAGGATGTCATTCAACCAGCATTTACTGAGCACGTACTACCTGCCAGGTGCTATGGCTGGTGTTAGAGCTGCTGCAGAGAACACATTCCTGCCCACGCAATGGGCATTTTCTGACGCCCCCCCCTTGCAGTCGGTGTTGAGAATTCCCCTCGCCGCAGCTATTCCATGGTGCTCCGAGATGGCCTCTTTGACACAGCTCTGATTTCAGTCACCCCAGCATTCTTGATCATTAGACATTTGGAATTTCGACATTCACACTGAATTAAAAATTGGGCAGCCTTTAATTTTTGCCAGACACCATTAGATATATTTTACTTTTTTATGTACTTTTTGAAGCGTAGTTGAAGCATGCTGACAAGAAAGTTCAGTATTTAAAAATACTTCTCAAGGGTGGAAGGAAGAACTTGAGCTCATGAACCAGAGCTGCGAGGCATTTACACAGAATTTTCACAGGTATCCCCTTAGGAAACATTTGTTTTAATGACACTGTTTTTAATATTACAGTTATACACTTGGTCCTAAAGTTACATCCTAAATACGAGCTTGCAGTGTTTTCATACTTGGCAAGATGGAAGTTCAAGACAAGATTATCTATTTCTCAATCTTTCTCTCTCTCTCTACCTACCTACCTACCTACCGGTTGGTCAGTCTTTCTGTCTATCATCTATCTATCTACTATTTATTTTTGTGAAAGGGTGTGTGAGCAAGTGGAGGAGGGACAGAGGGAGAGAGAGCATCTTAAGCAGGCTGCATGCTCAGTGCAGAGGCCAACAGGGGACTTGATCCCATGACCCTGGGATCATGACCTGAGCCGAAATCAAGAGTTGGATGCTCAACCGACTGAGCGACCCAGGTGCTCCAATGGTCATTTAAGTTTGAACCCATTCTTTGTTCCTCTCCACTCCCCATGTTAGGTATGTGGTGTCATACTTTACATCCTTTTATTTTGTGAATCCCTTTATAGAAAAACTTAATTTTACTGCTTGTGTGCTTACTACTTTTATTCCTGCTTATGGTCTTTCCTTTCCACTCAAAGTGGCCCCTTTGACATTTCTCAAAAGGCCGGTTTAGTGGTGATGAATTCCTTTAACTTTTCTATGTCTGGGAAACTCTCTCTCTCCTTTTATTCTGAATGATAACCTGGCTGGTGATTCTTGACCTCAAGCCTTTTTTCTTTCAGCACTTTGAATATATCATGCCACTTCCTTCTGTGCTGCAGCTTCTTCTGAAAATCAGCAGATAGCCTTCTGGGGTTTCCCTTGTATGTAACTCTTTTCTCTTGCTGCTCTTAAAATTCTCTCTTAAGCACTACTTGCTGCTAATTTAATGACTATTTATCTTCTGTGGACCTCACTGGGTTGATATTTTGGGGGCTCTCTGTGCTCCCTGGATGTGGATTTCTGTTTTCTTCCCCAGATTTGGTTTTCAGCTATTCTTCCCTCATCTACATTTTCTGTCCCCTTTTCCCTCTCTCCTACTTCTGGTAGCCCTGTAATGTGAATGTTACTACATCTCATGTAGTCACTGAGCTCCCTCAGTTGAGTGTCATTTTTTGTTAATAGTTTTCTCTCTCCTGTTCAGCTTGATTGCTTTCCATTACTGTGTCCTCCAGTACACACTGCATCTATTCTTCTCTAGTCTCCTATTCTCTCTTGTTTATTCCTAGTTTCTGTTACTGAGTTTTTCGTCTCTAATGGGTTCTTCTTTATGTTTTCTATCTCTTTGTTGGTCCCACTGAGATCCTCCAGTCTCAAGCGCAGTGAGTATCTTTATGACCATTACTTTTAATACTCTCTCGGGCACATTATTCGTCTCCATTTTGTTTAGCCTTTTTGCCGTGACTTTGTCCTGTTCTTTCATTTGGGACATATTCCTCTGCCTCCTCATTTTGTCTGACTCTCCGTGTCTGTTTCTCTGTGTCAGGAGAGTCAGCAACATCTCCTGCTCTTGAAAGCAGTGTCCTTATGAAGAAGACTTCTGTAGTGCCGTGCAGTTCAGTGTCTCCTGGTCACCAGCATCCGGCGCCTGAGGGGAGTCTGCTCTGTGTGTTGTGTGCATTGCTCTCTTGTAGCTGAGTTGTGTTTGCCTTCAGTCCACTTGTCATCAATGGCTCTCTGCCTTTTGTGGGCAGGGTTTGCCTCCTGTGTTAGGGCCAGTCTGGAGTCACCTCAGGCTTGATTAGGGTGACACCAGGCGTTTACAGGGCATCCTTCCTATGGTGTCATCTGAGAAGCATATGTTGGTGAGTGGGGCCTGCAGGCAGACCGGATGCCTGCTCCCTGCCCACTGCGGGGGCTGCAGTTGTGATTGGCCTGGCATGTCGGTTACCTTGCCCTCACCCTGGGGCAGGTGTCGCTTTGGGGTGATGTTGGCCCCTAATGGGACTGTTTGCAGGAACGGGCTCTGGCCCAAAGTGTATCAGAGGGGGTGGGTCCCACAGGAGGACACGGGGGCAGGGTGTGCGGAGTTAGCAAGGCGTGTGAGGGCCGCCTGCAGCCCAGATGTGGCTTCGGGGGTGTGTGTGCAGAGGAGCACTGTTAGCAAGCAGGTGGGGAGTATTCGTGTGTCCTGGTTCCACAGGTCCCTGTATCGAGGCGAGGGTGGTGGGGAGAGGGGGTGCCTGCCACTCCTTTGTTCTTGAGAAACTTCCCAAAGATCCCTGTCCCTGGACTACAAACTAAGATTAGTGAAGAGAGCTCCCCGCTGTGTATGCCAGGTGTTTTCCATACTGCTGCTTCTGTGCTGTATCTCAGCACGACTGTTTGTTATACTGTCTCTTTAAGGGTAAGGGGTCCATCTCCTCTCACCCAGCAGCTCTTTACAGTCACACCTGCTGAGTTTAACTTTCCAGGTGTTAAGCTCCACTGGTTGTAATAACTCAAGAAATTATGCCCCTCTAGTTTTTTTTTTTTTTTTTAATGTTTGTTTATTTCTAGGAGACAGAGAGAGAGACAGCGTGAGCAGGGGAGGGTCAGAGAGAGAGGGACTCACAGACTGAAACAGGCTCCAGGCTCTGAGCTGGCAGTCAGCACAGAGCCCAACGCGGGGCTCGAACCCACGAACCGCGAGATCATGACCTAAGTGAAAGTCGGACGCTTAACGAACTAAGCCACCCAGGCACCCCTATGCCCCTCTAGTTTTCAAAGCCACATGTTGTGGGGTCTCATCTTCCCTGTGTGAGTCCCCTGTGCCTTGGGTGCCTTGTGTGAGGGTCCACACCCATGGAGTTTTCTCTCCCAGGACAGTTCTGGGGGTCTGGTTAGTCCCCAACCACGTTTCTACCCTTTCTACCCTCTTCAAAGTGGCCTTTTCTCTGCACGTAGCTGTGACGAGGCTGCTCTGCAGGCTGCAGATCATTTTCTGGGTTATTTATACTGACGTGGGTGTTACCTTGCTGTATCTGTGTGATGATAGGAGCTTGGGGTCCTGCCTCCTGTGTGTCTGCCCTGGATGTCCAGGAAAATGGTACTTAGAGCCATGGGACCTAATGAAATTATTCAGAAAGGGGACCATGAACTCAAAGCTCAGCTCATCTACAGCTGATGGGGGGATGGAGTCAAAAGGCGGTGGCCAATGGCATTTTTCAGTTTTTTGAAAGAGAATGCATGTGAATGGGGGAGGGGCAGAGAGAGGGTGACAGAGGATCTGAAGTGGGCTCTGAGCTGACAGCACAGGCCTCGAACTCACCGCGAGTTCAGACCTGAGCCAAAGATGGATGCTTAACTGAGCTACCCAGGTACCCCCACTGTGTCATTCTTAGTGCTTCCTCTTAAGAAAATGTAACCATGTTGTAAACAACGCATACGATTCTCCCTGGAGTACTCGGTATTAACCGTATGCCGTACCAGTGTATTTCCGCAGACCACAATCAATCCCCGCAGCAGAGAGTGTCAGGCCCAGAGTGATCAAGACTCTGTTCCCATCTCACAACTTTTTAAAAAAATTTTTTTTAAAGTTTTCATTTATTTCTGAGAGAGGGAGACAACATGAGCAAGGGAGGGTCAGAGAGAGAGGGAGACACAGAATCTGAAACAGGCTCCAAGCTCTGAGCTGGCTGTCAGCACAGAGCCCGACGTGGGGGCTGAACCCACAAACTGTGAGAACATGACCGGAGCCGAAGTCGGGCGCTAAACCGACTGAGCCCCCCAGGCACCCCACCATCTCACAACTTTCTTAACGGCCTCCCTGTGGCCAGAATTCACCATCCAGTAGGGTAGCCACGAGCCACCAGTTGCTAGTTGCATATAAATTGATTAAAATGAATTAAAATTAAGACCTTGATTCCTCAGTCACACTAGCAACATTTCAGTTGCTTTACAGGCACGAGAGCCTGGGGCCACCACACACGGAATATTTCCATCATCACAGCCTAGCTGTGCCCACACTAACCGCCAGGCCTCCTTCCCACGTTCACTGGAAAGTTCTGTCTCGCAGAGATACGCCAGTGAATGGATCTACAATTGTAACCTTTGGCAACACACCTGCCCTTGTCTTCTGTATTTATCTGTAGCCAACTTACCTTCTAACCTGACGTATATTTATGTGCTTTGTTTATTGTTTATGTAGCTCTGTTGGCTTTTAAGTCCACCACAGCAGCAGTTCCTATATCTGGAATGGCACCACTTGAATGAAAGCCTCTGAATTCATTCATTGGTTCACACTTGTGTATAATGTACAATTCTCCCCCTGAAAAAAAGCCCTGATGCCTGTTGTGTAACTCTTAAAGTCTCTGGTAAGTGTTTCCCGACACCGAAGGTGCCTGCTTGATGTCCGCTCGTCCCCTCTGATTTAAAGCTCTTCTTTTCTCGATCCAAAGTGCTCTGAGCAAGTTCCCACTAGAACCACCCAGTCCCATCAAAGCATTTTCCCCTCTGAAAACTTCCATCAAACACTTGGCGTGAACGGCAGGGACGCGATGTTAATCGGTAGCAGAGTGCTGCCTTTCCACACCCCTGGGCATGCGGGTTGGTGAATAAACCTGACACTGGCTAGACTTCCTGTTCCCACACTCAGCAAGGGGCTGGTCATCAGTCTGTCTTTTATCTGAGCGACTGCCCAAAGTGAAGCCAGGTGAGGAGGCCACACTGTGCCCCCGGGGGCGGACATGTCTACAGGGCCAGGATTCTCAACTGCCTTAGACAGCAAGTCACAGTCTCGCAGGGATCAGACACAGGGACGTGTAGGGATGCACCTGTGCGCGGTGGAAGGGAAAGGTGTCCACTCGGGTCTCTGCTGAGGTCCCCTGGCCTCTCTATCAGAGAGCTGTAGGACTCACACTTGGGATGCTGATTCCCTCGCCCAGGAACGAAGACTCCTGCGGCTGAGTGTCGCCCCTTCCTGTGGGAGTTCCACTCAGCACAGACACCGTACGAGGTTACTCCCAAGACCCCCTCACGGTCATGTGGCTGTGCCTTCCCCGTGCTTTCCGGCTGCTGCTCACATCTCACCAGGTTTTCTCCCAGACTCTCCTCCTGACATGGGTTTGGCAGACCTGCCTGCCTCCTTTGCTCCGCGTGTGCATCTTGGCGCCACGTACAGAGCCTCATTTCCCTCCTTCCTGTTCCCTCACGATCTAAGAGCCACAGGCCACGTGGAACGTGGCTCCAGGCCGTCCTCTCTTTGTGCGTTCTGAAATTACAGATCCTGGCGTCGACCGATACCACGTGCAGTGGCTTCCGGAGGCCTGCGCCCACAACGCTAGCACCCGAGCGGAGACGTCTTCTGGCCTCACCCAGGTGAGAGAGGGCCACACGGCCCGATTCACAGCCGCATTCGGGTTCCTTGGTGTGCGTAAACAGCGGGCAGAAAGCTGTGCGGGGTGGACGGCGGACATCGCTCATTCTCACAGGGTAGCCGTTGGGTGATAATGAGGCTGAAGTGAAAAACAGAACGGTCCTTCCGTTCAGCCGTTTAGTGTTCCCCTGAGGGCACGGTCCGTGTCGCACACGGTGCGGCCTGAAAGGCAGAGACAAGAGACACGGTGTGTGAGGGACTCCCAGGTCACAGGGGAGACGCTTCTGCAACCCTGGTGCGTCTGGTGTTAACTGGACAGAAGTTTTGAATCATCTTCTGAATCTTGACTTGGCCACGTGAACTACAGGTGGCATTCCGTCTGCGAATTTCTGTGCGACCCTGCACTGTCTGCAATCTCGCGGGATGGTTTAAAGTACCCAAGGGCAGGGCCCCACACGTCTCTAATGTTGACAGATGATATTTAAGCAGAACATTTTTCTTGTGGCGATTTTCTAAAGCACCAAGTCGGGTATTTTTAGAATCCTATCTTGATCACATCACTTTAAGGCACGTCGGTGGGTCTGCGGAAACACGGTTTTTCACTGGATTTGACTTGTCCTGACTCATGCTCACCAACGCTGTTCCTTTTATGTTTTCCTAAGTGGTTCCCAAAGATTGTGGCCCTCACTGGAAAAGGAAGAAAGAAAGAAAAAAAGAGGAAACATTTTTAAAAAGGGAAACCTTTTTGAAAAGCAGAGAAAGAAGTGACCAGAAGTGGGGCCTATTGGATACTTTGTTGGCAGGGCCAAGGCTTTTAGTAGTTTTACTCACGATGCCTTGGAATCGTGGGAAGTGTGGCTTATTTGGGGGGACGGCCAATCCTAGGCTTCGCCTCTCTAGGGACTCTGGAGGTGATAACGAGCATTTGCTGAGCGTGGATGGTGTGTCTGGTAGACACATAGAATGAAATCTCCAGAAAGCACTCTGCTAAAGGCGCCCACCTTGTCTGTTTCCGTCTGTAAATGCCTCTTAGACCCACTGGTTTTCAAGCGCTGTGGGAGCACCGGTACTTTGCCTGTGGCCGTAGGGGCCTGCCTTCCACGCCAGGCAGCGGCACTCTTCACAGAGCTGCGGGGGGCCGTCCTCAGCGGGCGGCGTGGGCTTCCAGCAGAGTCCCGTACACAGGGTAGCCTTGTCCCCATGGGGTGGCATTTCAGTCAGGCAGCCAAGGGGATGCCCAGGCTCGCATGGGTCCCGCTCAGCCTGTGGCCAGCATGGTGCCCTGGCCTGGCCTGCCCGCCCCCTCTGGGCACAGGGCCAGGTCGCTCCCCTCTCCGCGCTGGTCTCTGGCTCCGCCCACCGCAGTGGCCTCCATTCTGACCGTGACAGAGGCCACGCGCTGAGCCCCACTGTGTGTTGTACTTCCCATCCCGAGTGTCCCACCTCAGGCTGGATGCCATCCAGCAGGGAGCCCGCCTGTGTGCATCCTACACGTGTGCATCAGGCGCTGGTGCACACCGGACGTCATTCAAAAGTGAGAGTCGTCTTTACAGGCTTGTGCTCCCACCTGCATGGCAATGGGTCGCACCAAGCCGCTCCGGTCCTGCAGCGCCGTGGTGCTGTTCAGTTCCAGGGTGCCTCCCACGCCGTGGGGCGGCCCACAGTCCCGATCACTCAACACACGGACGGTGTCTCCTTCATAGGTTTATAAAAGCCACGTCTCATGCTGTCCATATATAGGAAACTATCCTTCTTGGAACAAAATTCATTTCCTGCCTCTTCTTTATCCCTAATGAGACATATTGCTAACATATTCCATCTCTCTCTCTCGCTCTAGGAAAATTATATAATTCTTCAGGATCTATCATTTTCCTGTAAATATAAGGTGACTGTGCAACCGATACGGCCCAAGGGCCGCTTGAAGGCAGAAACTGTTTTCTTTACGACTCCTCCGTGCTCTGCCCTGAAAGGGAAAAGCCACCGGCACGTGAGCTGTCCTGGTGAAGCAGGTGTGTTTCAACCTGAACCCGCCAGTGTGTGTCTGTAGGGCTGGCCACACTCTGAAGACTTTTCCAGACCGTATTTCACGAGATCTGAGAAACCAAACGTACCCCTCTTTCTAAATTGTAGTCTGATGGCCCAGGCTGGGAGGTAAAATACGGTTCACAGTCCAGGCTGGGTGGTAAGATCTGGTTGATGGCCCAGGCTGGGAGGTAAGGTACGGTTGATGGCCTGGGCTGGGAGCTAAGATCCGGTTGATGGCCCTGGTTGGGAGGTAAGATACAGCTGATGGCTCAGGCTGGGAGATAAGATCTGGTTGACGGTCTGGGTTGGGAGGCCCCAGTTGGGAGGTAAGATCGGGTTGGGAGGCCCCAGTTGGGAGGTAAGATCGGGTTGGGAGGCCCCAGATGGGAGGTAAGATCTGGTTGGTGGCCCAGGCTGGGAGCTAAGATCGGTTGACGGCCCAGGTTGGGAGGTAACATACGGTTGTGGGCTTCATTCTGTCATTCTCATGGCACGGGAGGGGTGTCCTCTTCTGCCTACATGTATTGTCCCTTTAGAACCGATGCCAAAGTTTTCTGTGTTGCTTGTGCTTTGGCGTGTTCTACGGAAATTATTTCATGTTTATCCGCCTACTATGCCATGGGACCTGCTTTTATGTACTTTCCATGACACCCCAGCCCCACATCTTCTCCTGTCCCCGCTCCTTGCCAGGGCCTGTCTCCCTGTCCTGTGGTGGAATGAATACCCCGGGGCTCCGGAAACACAGCCCACTGAGCAACCCTGACTCGGGATTCCTTCTCATAGCCTCGCTACCCACCCCGGTCACGGCGTTCACCTCTGCTCTCGAAGTAGTAGCCCAATCTTCAGGAGGCAGAACTCCCTCTCCTTCTCCCATACCCACAGCTGGGTCCTAAAAAGAAAGAATCCCCAAAGCACCCAGCAGAGTTGCTGCACCCAGATGGCCTCTGGCTCGCTGACTGTCCCCACAGGTCATGAGGTGATGGTCCAAAGCCATGTGTGAAGACCGAGGTCAGACTGCGCATGCCTCCTCCGGGAAGCGGCTGCCCCAAGTGCCCACGATGCGTGCAAACAGCTGCCACGCCCAGTCCGTGTCCCGCAGCCTCACTCGCTCTTATGTCCTCTCGCTACAGCGCACGTGCCTGCCAAGGTGCTCACCAAGCCTGAGAACCTCTCTGCCTCGTTTGTGGTCCAAGATGCTAACATCACAGGCCACTTTTCTTGGAAGATGGCCAAGGCCAACCTCTATCATCCCATGACTGGCTTTCAGGTGACCTGGGCCGAGGTCACGACGGAGAGCAGACAGAACAGCCTGCCCAACAGCATCATTTCACAGTCACAGATCCTGCCTTCCGTAGGTGCCGACTCGGTTTCTCTGTGCGTGTGGCCGGTGGAGGGGAGGGGGTGCTTGCGCCATGATGCAGGCAATGTACTGAGGCGTCTTCCCGCATCATCTTCTGGACGCATTAGTTTGAAAGTATTAACGACACATCACAGGTGCCGCTGTGAGCAGGGTAAACAGTCTACTGTAACTAACTAACTTCAGTCTGCAGTTACTTCAGCAGCCTCAAGCCGGGCTTGTGCGCTGGTGATTTAACAGTTTCTCTGCTAACCCCATGTCGCTCTGGTCCAAGTGGACGTGCCTTGTTTGAAGTGTTAAATTGGGGGAAAATAGCTCAAAGAAGCTTGTTGTTTCTCTCTCTTTTCCGCCCTTCAAATTTGGCCTGAGACTATAATGAATTGGCCTGTCTTCCAGGCCACTTAATTCCTTGGCTTGAAGAAAAAAAAAAAAAAAACACCCATGTGTGGGCTTTTACCCTCTCTGAAAATGCCCTCAGGATAGCCAACTCCTGCTCCAAAAAGAGAGAAAGGAGAGAAAAAACTTAAGTCCGGAAGGAAAAATTCCTTGGAATTAGAAAGTAGTTACTCTATGAATGTATTAGGTTTTATTGAATTTTGAAAAGAATGTGTTGGCATAAAAATAAACATTTTCGGTTATGGGCAATGACAGATACTGTGTTTTAAGGAAAACAGTTGGCTCCTTCACTGAAATTTGGATGATCAAGAATTCACATCACAAGTTGTCCAGATGAAAACTATCAACCATGGGAAAGTCTTATGTTAAGGAATAAAAAGTGAAATCTCAAGGGTGAGCCCTGAGAACTGGCACCGCGGCACACTTGAACCCTGCTAAGTGTGCCAGGCTGCTAGGGTAGAGAGAGGTGCTGAGAGAGGACGGCGCCGCAGGCTCTGGCCAGGGGGAGCTGCCGCAGTCTGTGAGGCTGCTGTGGGCTCCCACCTGCTCTCTGCGCTCACACCTCTTATCTGACTGCTCACACCCATTCTCTGACTGGGGCATGCCCGTGGGAGAACGTGTCCACACTGAGTGTACCCCTTTGTGGCCCCCACAGGATCACTACGTGCTAACAGTGCCCAATCTGAGGCCATCTACGCTGTACCGACTGGAAGTACAGGTGCTGACCGCGGGAGGGGAAGGGCCGGCCACCATCAAAACCTTCCGGACGCCCGACCTCATGCTGCCCTCGGTGCACAGTGAGTGTGGGACACGGAAAGTCAGCAGGCGTGGGGACCCTCCGATGAATGACTGGGTTGTCTCAGGCTCCTGTGATGCCAGGGGGGTCTCTTGATCTGAAATCCTTCCTCCCCGTGCATATGTATTGCTGGACTTGATTGATTGTAGACACCATTAGCATCATCGTGTGCTTGGTGACAAACTGTTCCCTCCCTGCTTGCATCCCTTTCCTTCCTTTTGTTTTCTACACATATCCAGCTTATTACTTCCCTTTTACACCATAAATATACGAGGGGGAAAATCTATAACCTCATAGCAGTCTGAAATTGTTTTAAAAAATTGAGATTTTCAAATATGACGATACAGGAAATACTTTGCTAAGGATTATTTTCTTATTACAGTATTTTACTGTAATATATTACATAAATGTTCTTCATAGTATGACCCAGACCAATCTACTGGATTTACTGCAAAGTCAAGTTTTTTAAAAAGAATTGTCACCCACGGTTTCAAAACATTGAGGCTCTTGCTGATTTTTAAGTTATGTACTTCATCTTTTTCCAGCTTAAACTTACAAAGGAGTGCCTACAGATCTGTCTGGTGCTGAGAAAATGGGGCAGGAGCCCTGGATTTACATTTACAGTTGCACTAGTAATTTTGCCCTGATTACTGTCCGTGCCTAGAACTGTAGCAAACACCACCCAGCCCGGGAGAGCTTGGCAGGCTCTTCCCTTCTTAAGGGTTGGGTGAATGCTTTCCTGATACTCCTTTGAAAATGGGTCTCATACAAGTACTGGTTACGCTTTTACCTTCCCAGGAAATAGAATGACCCGGAGGGGCACCTGGATGGCTCAGTGGGTTGAGCGTCTGGCTCTTGGTTTCAGTTCAGCTCATGATCTCACGGTTCGGAAGTTCGAGCCGCACACGGGGCTCCGTGCTGACAGTGCAGAGCCAGCTTGGGATTCTCTCTGCTCCTCCTCTTCGCGTTCGCTCTCTCTCAAAATAAACTTTAAAAAGAAAAGAGAAGGAAGGCCTTTGGTGTGCTTGGGTAAATAACTGTAGGATGCAGGAAACGAGGTTCTACTCCTCTTGTGAGTTTATGGATTTAGGGAAGAAAGCAAGGAGTGGGGAAGAGGAGGGAGGCTGATTCCCAGCAGGGGAGCTGTGGGTGCAGGAGGGAAGACCCTGGTTCTGATGCTTTCACCACCAGTACCTGGCTGCCTGTTGAGCACCGGTGACTGACACGTATGCCCTGTCACCCTTTAGGACCCCACCTCAGACATCGGCATCCGCATCATTACAAGCCTTCTCCAGAAAGATACTGAAGGGACCTAGAAGATGTCTAAGAATGGAAGGAATGTGCCGGCATGCTGAGCTACCTGGTCTACACTTACAGGCAGGCACCCCCCAGAACTCCCTACCCGTCGTCATCTGCGCCCGAGGAACCTCTGCCCATCTGGGACACATGTGGAAACCAGCGACACACAGCCCATGGGGACGGACAGCGGCTTCCTACGGGGAGGAGGGAAATGAAGAGGCGGCCTGTGGAACCGGGCATTTAAACGTCCACATGTGAGTGTCTGCTGAATGACTGCAGAAGGGTGCTCTTCCTGGATTCACAGCAGCACATTCGCAAGTTAGTGTAGCCAACACACAATTTGTCCACACACCAGGCCTCACGCGGATCCACACAACATTTTCAAATTAAACGATGGCTTTGATTTGCAAAGTCAACTAAGTTGATGCAGTGGTTAGGTCCTATTCCAATCTTTCATAAGATGATTTATATCACGTATAATTTTTAACTGAAAAAAATCTAACCTCAAATACAGCAATTAATTTAAATCTCTGCCTGCCCTTACGCTACATTCGCACAAAGGCGAATGAGCACTGCATCTGTCAATAGTGCTTTTCGAAAGACTCCAAAGCAGGAGAGATTCAGCTAATCAACCTGCTATCCAGAGTCGGCCCCGGAGAAGTTAAAATTCACTCCTAGGGATACTTTTTAATATTTCGTCCTGCAAAACGAGAGATTTTCCTTGTTTCCTTAGTGCAGGAAAGAGCTGCTGATGTACTTTGTGTTCCCACTTCATCCATCTAAAAATTTACAAAACGTCTTGTTTAAAATGAAAGAATCCCAACTATTGGATATCTTCCAGTCTTTACTAAGTGTTGCCTTTTCTTAATCACAGTAAGCTACTTGTGTGCTAGAATATTGTCTCTTCTTGGTGATATAGGAAACATGAGGCCCTGATTGATAGAGAGCAGCTATTTACTCTTTCAAATCCATTATATCATACTGTTTGGCTCTAAACTACCCCCTTTTCGCATGAACTTGGGTCAAACACCTCAACTATATATAATGTCGCACTGTACGTTGGGGCAGCCTTCCACCCAGAAATGTTTAGTTTAATAAAGTTGTTCTTGAGGAAATATCCACATTTATGGTTTGAAATATGCAGATATGTTTTTGTGTCTATGTACTTATAAGTATGTGTGTGATACACATACACACATCACAGACCTTGAACATGACTCCCTAAAGAAATGGTTTTCACAGCTACCAATGGTGGATAAAGATAAGTTCTTCTAGAGAGGGTTCTAGATTTTCCCCATCAGTGTTTATTCTATGAGGAAAGAGCAATGTATCAAAAGTTAAACATTGGAAAGAAAAGGCTTCCTCATTTCACTGTGTACCTAGCTAAAATGGGGGAAGTTTCAGTACCGACTTCTTGGGGTTTGATGGCAGCACTGGGTGCTTACCGTGTCGTGGTTCCTGAGAGCATGTGGACGCCCAGACCGCTCCTGGAGGGGGCGGCTCAGGACTCCTTCACTTCCTGCGGCTCCTCCACGGTGTCAGAAAGCACACGCACTACAAAATGGAGAGGGACTACTTTTATTATTACATCTTTAGGAAACGCAGCCTAGAGGCATGGATATGTGGTGACAGATCTTGAAAACCGCTTCCTGTGTGGTGGAGACTTTTTTTTTTTTTTTATGTTTTATTTATTTCTAGGAGAGAGAGAGAGAGAGACAGCGTGAGCAGGGGAGGGTCAGAGAGAGAGGGAGTCACAGACTGAAACAGGCTCCAGGCTCTGAGCTGGCAGTCAGCACAGAGCCCGACGCGGGGCTCGAACCCACGAACCGCGAGATCATGACCCGAGCGAAAGTCGGACGCTCAACCAACTACGCCACCCGGGCGCCCCTGTGTGGTGGAGACTTTTAAATGTCGATGACAGAGGCAATGTTTCGCAGCCCAGCACAAGGGACACTCCCGGGGTCAGCAGGGTCAGCAGGGACGCGCACGGTGCTTCCTGATGGTTTTCTAGAGCCCCCAGCATGGTCTGGGGCACTGAACACACGTGCTGTGAGGTCACCGGATTGTAGGAGACAGACACATTTGGAATGCACAGCTCAGAACCACCCCTCATTTCAAATAGCCCCAATCCGGACCCAACACCACAGAATCTTCTAGGAAGCTCTGACTTGTGCCCTTAGCGGCATCCGAATTTCAAATTGTCACATTTTCACAAATGAAGGTGTCTAATACTGGCTACCAGTTTCTCTGTTACTTTAATTTGTCACGAACAAACCTAGCACTGATGCCAGCACATTTTTATCCAGCTGTGTAGTTCAAAATGGAGGCGCGTATACATAGATACAAAATATTATTAAATTATTATGTAGGTTTAATGTTACAAAGCTTAATTATGTTTCCTTTATCCGGGTAATAGACGATGAGCAAATCTATCCTTTGTGTGGATGAAGGTCCTGAGGCTTACACCTCCCTTAGGAAATCAGAAGCACTTCATAGGAGTGTCTACTTTTGCAATAACATTCATAACTTAAATATTATTCACATTATTTGAAGAAAAATGCTATTGATTAGGTGATTAAGGAAGCATGAGTTTCTTTTATGAATTGCAATAATATGCAAATCGGCCAAATTATAATTACATTTTTTTAATCTAAAAAATTTGAGTGCCCTAATAAAGGAACATGACCTACAGGGTTTTTTCCTCTAAACACAGCTACGTGGCTAAGTCTCTAATATGTCTTATTGAACTAAATGCATCTCTCTTATCTGAGGACATACATATTCAGCGATAGTATTTACTCGTCAAAGTGTAGCCCATCAAAAATAGCAAGTCCTCGGATCCTGGCGGCTCACTCGAGAGTTACGGCAGCTGCAGGGGGTCCCTCTACCTGTTTGCTCTCTGTCTCTCTAACGGGAGCCCTGTGGTGTGATGTTTATAGGTGATCATGTGCCCTCTGGAGCCATTCGTTGTTTCAGTAGGATATATTAGAGGCAGGAAAATGGATGGCAGGTAGTTTTTTTTTAAATGATTATTGAACAAAACTCAAGTTTAAAGATGCATGTATATCCTGGGAACCGAGAAGAGCCCATCACTAAGTCTACAAAGCAGGCTTTCTGCAGCTCAGCCCGACGGGCGTGTGGGACCGCTCGCGCTCTGGGGTGCACGTCCAGCATAGTGTACGGTGTTGTGCGGCGTCCCTGGCCCTTACCCGCCAGATGTCCCCAGGGGGGGGACAAGCAACGATTCTTTGCCTTGCATTGGGACCCGAGTAAATGACAAGAGTAAGTCCTGGGAAGTTACAGCATTCGACTCCAAAGCCCCGTGTTGTGTCTTTTCTGTCCGCTGAATCCTGTGATGGTAACACTGAATTGTGACTTGTGTCTGTATTGTGCAAGTACAGATGGGAATTCTGTCCTGTCTACCAGTCAGCGTCACTTATGATAATGACTTATTTATTTAATGCCCTTTCTTATACCTTCTGCCATGGATTTACTAAGTTTGCTCATTCCCATGATGCAACTATGTCTGAATCTTGTGCTACAAACCTTCCCACTGTAACCAGAACACAAGGCTCTCTATCTGTTGCATGTGCTTAATACTCACGGAAAATAATAAATGCATAAAGATGGTGACTCTTACCTACGGCTGTGCATGGCCAGACTCCGTTTCTTACCTCTCCTGAGTATTTTAGCAAGTTATACCATTTCCAGAGTGATTAACAGAGGTCTGTATGTAACGTTACTATATCTTAATTATACTGTAGTGAGCAGATAACAGAAGACCTACCTTCTCATCCAAATGGCCAACAGAGTTCAAGCCTCTCAGACTGGTCATTCCAAGTCAATATTTATTTATGTCTGTAATTAAAAAAAAGTGTTTGATTTTTGTGTCTGTCATGTTATTTAGAGAGAAGTAATCCTGTAAAAAAAAACATTTTGTAAAAAAAAAAAAAAGTATTGTAAATAGTTGGATATTCTGTGACTCATTATTTTCATGTTAGAGTTTGTACATACTGATTCAGTAATAAAGCATCCTTACACCCGCCCGGTGGACTAGACTCATTTATTAAGGAAAAAAAAAACAACAACAAACACTTTTTTCTTTTTTTTTTTCCTGTGTTCCCACAGAGAGTCAAAAAGTCAGTATGAATGGAATTTGAGGTGTGGCAAATGTAACAAGAGGCACTTCATCCTGATGAAAGTATTCTGGGGTCTGGCGACTGACACTTGGGAGGTGGTTCGCCGTATTTACTTATGACTGTTACTGCTGAGGGCTGTGGTGGCATTTTTCATCCATAGTCTACAAGTTAAAGTGGCCCCTCCCACACGTATCCATAAAACGCTACTCGTAGGAAGTGCTCTTAAGTGTCATCCCTACCTCTGTGGTCCCCCACACCATGCACTCTATTCAGAGCTCCCCATCTCCGGTATCCAAGGAGAGCTTCCCGCACTTCCTGCTGGGACAGCAGTGGGCCGGGAACAGATCTGCTGATGAGCGAGCAGCAGAATGTCGCCCCATAAAGCTTGAGGGAAAACGTGGTGTTCTCCAGGGGAACCTCAATCTTCTCTTTCCTACATGAAATCACCCACTTAATGTACACATTCATTGAACGAACATACCCTCGGTTTGTGCCGTGTCCCTGGTCCCGTTCTAGAGGTGGGACATTGCCCACAAAGGGAAAGCTCCCTGTTTGCTTTCTTCCTTCCAGTAGGCAGAGATGTGCTAGGTCAGCAGGTGAACAATGAAAGTGCTCAGAGGTGGGGAGTGGAGACGCCATGAGACGTGGTCAGAGAGGGGCCAGGATAAGAAGTTCAAGGTCTCGTGAATATTTTTAAAGGTCACTCTGGCTGCCATGGGCAGAAGAGACTGTGTGAAGAAAAGGGAGGAGAGCACGCAGAAGACCGTGGTGTTTGTGCACGCAGAGACAGGACTGTGGATTAACATGCAATGGCACGGTAGATGTGCAGAGGAGCCAACAGACTGGGGGTACGTTTTAGAAGCTACACTGATAAGACTCCTATGAGAAGGTGAGCCAAACACAGAAATACAAACCTGTTCTGAACAGCACTCAGGAATTCTCAAAGATGGTTTCCTGAAAATCAATTAGCAAGAACACAGGTGAATCCAGACCTCAAAGGCCATATACTGCATGACAGCATTTTAGAAATATTTTTGAGACAGCGTGAGTGGGGGAGGGGCCGAGAGAGAGGGGGGCAGAGGATCTGAAGCGGCCTCTGTGCTGACAGCAGAGAGCCCAACGTGGGCCTTGAACTCATGAACCACGAGGTCATGACCTGAGCTGAAGTCGGACCCAGCCAGTGCCCCTATATGACTTTTTATCAGACGTCTGGACTCGGAAGTCCACAGATGCAGAAGGCGGGTTGCCAGGAGCTGGAGGCGGGGCATGCCAGCGACAGCCCTATGGGCATGGGGCTTCCCCATGGGGAGCACAGGCCTCCCTACAAGCATGGGACCTCCCCACAGGGGGCACGGGGCATCCTCACGGGCATGAGGCCTCCCTCCGGAATTAATGGAAATGCCCTGTAGCCACATTCACACAATGCTGAGAATGGACCAAATGCTACCGGACGGCACACTTCAAAACGGTTCGTGTCTGTTTACGTGAGTCTTACTTCAAAAGAAAACAAGTATCAGCAATCCCGCCTGAAACACATACACCTATATACCTAATCCACATACCAACATGCACAGGCATCCATCCTGCTGACTTTTAGTGTAAATACCACTCACTGGCTCTTGCTGGTGGGGGAGGGGGATTCGTGTCTTTATGTGCAAAGCAAATCATCCCTCTGATTTTCAACTGGAAAGT